CCCCCAGCATCCACTACCTTTGTCTCCTATTAACATTCACAAGGCCCAGGCAGCAAGGTCACCCTCAAGCCACCTCACTCAGACTCTCTTCTGCTCAGCACCTGCTTCTCTGTCTGCCCCAACTGGCGGGAGATCACTCCCCTTTCTGAGCTATTTCTGAGCCCTATTTAAGGTTGGCCACATATCCAAGCAGTTGCCACTGCTGTTCCAGGCTTGTAGCAGGGAAGTTCAGACAGAGTTTCCTCCAGAAGCCAAGAGCATCCCTCAGCCCCCCTCTGAAGCCTGGTCTCATGCTGACTCTGGGGGCCGAAGTGCAGGGTTGTGCGTCTGTGTGCTTGTGTGTGCACCCATGTGTTGCCCGCATGTGCACATTTCTGTCCATGTTGTGTGTACCCAAACACATGCATACTTAACATTACATCTGGGATGAAAGGTCCCATCCTGGTGTAGCTAGTACACCTTTCTTTCATTTTTAAGAAGGCGCAGGCAGCAGTTAAGTAAACAAATGAGCCGTACTCTTCCTTGCCTCAAACTGAAAGCAGCAAAGAGACACTATCAGAATCTGCCATATATGCAGATGGTCCCCTGAACGTGGCCCGTGGGCTTCAGCTCTGCACCTTCCCTCAGAGACTCAGGGTCCACAGTGCACAAGTTCTTTTTTCTTGGCCTCCCTCAGCCCCTCTATTTCTACCCCCACCATCCCCTGCACAATGCCAACAGCATGTCTTTTTGTCTCAGAAATGCAGGAGCTGTTAGCCTGGCTGTCAGGTAGCCAGGCAGTTCTAGTCGATAACTGATGGGCAGGCCCTCCTGGGTGTCTGCTCCTGTTCGGTGCATCCTCAGTAAGCTGTAGAGACCAGCGTGCCAGACCCCATTTTTTACACTGCCTGACAGTGAAAGCCTGAGGCCCAGCTTGCCTGTCCAAATCTCTGCAGACACTGAAATCACTCATCTCCTGGTGAAGGGCCGGCCTGTCGGGCAGCTTGTGCTTCACTCTTAACCAAGGACCCAACTTCCGATCCCTGAAACAAGAGAGCATCAGAGCACATGAGCAACTCCCTGTCACAGCTACCTGGCCATGGGAGCCAGCTCTGTCCCAGACCCACGAGCCCAGGCAGCAGGTCTCAGGAGGACCACTGTTCACTTGCCTCTTGATGCCAAACTTCCAGGCCAGGCCCCCCCCCTCCCACGTCCATCCAGAGGACACCACATGGGTTCCCTATAGGGCCAGGTCTACCCAGAGGGTCCCAGCATCTGCCTGGTCTCTTACCAAGCCATATCTTACCAAGCTATATCTTACTGAGCCGTATCTTACCCAGCCGTGCTGGGTAGTAAGCCAAGGACAGAGGAAGGAAAGTTCTGTTAGGACGGGTGCCCTTTGGCCAGTTTCCTGGTTTGACATAGGCTTGAAGTGGCGGCCAGTGTTCAAGCTTCTGATCTGGAAAGGCTGGCCCTGTGTTGCCTGCTCAGCAGACTCTCCACCCGCAGGGCCTGGCAGCTCCTTTGAGGGCCAGCCAGGCGGGGGTGGGCCAGGGCCTCTCCCCACAGCCCAGCCAAGGGGCCACTTGTCCTCAAAGTGGTTTTTGAGGGCCCACTGCTGAGTCAGAAGCATTCTTAGCCCAGTGTTTCCATAGCCTCAGAGCCCAGGAAGTCCCTAGTGTGGAGAGCAGCGGCCAGGTCCTCTGCAGCCGGAATTAGCAAACTCCAGTGGCTCCTTTGCTCTTGAAGACATGCTTTGCTCAGTCAGGTGTTTGGTTGGGAAAGTGCACGAGAGATGCCATCCACCAGGGGATGAGACAGGCTCAGTTTTCCACGTCCTTGCTCTTTGGTTTGTATAAGGAGACCCATAAAGCCAGGGTGAGCCTCTCACCGTTTGAGCGATCGATATGGCAGGGCACCTACTGCACAGCCTTCTCTGTGTACACTGCTGCATGCTGTCCCCAAACAGCCCTGTGTGGCAAGCACTTGCTCAGAAGTACTTCACAGATGCCTCCACATTGAATTTTGCCTCATGTACAGTTGAGTACACAGGAGCTCAGAAAGGTCATGCAGCTTGACCAAGATGCTGCTGCTAGTGAGTGGAGGAGCTGGATGTGAACCTGAGCCTTGGCAACTCCCAAACCCATGCTCTACCTTCTGAAACAGCCCAGTGGGTATCAGTGGGCTTCCTCAATCAGTCTTGGGTACCGCCAAGGGTATCACAGAGACTTGGGCCCTAGGTTAAGGTTCCAGCTGAGGACAGCTCACAAGGTACACACACTCTCCTTCCAATGTGCATGGTTGCTCTAGAGCCCAAATGAAAAGCCACAACCCATCCACAGAGACCCAGGAAACTGCATGCTGTCAGCAAAGGCTGGCTATGCAGCCTCTGTTGGGGAAAGCCTGGTGGTCCCCCAAAATCAGCAGCAAAGTGGGCCCCAGACAGCCACATCTCTGTCAGCCCAAATGGCTTGGTCTTAAATGAGGGCATGGAACCATTCTGATACCTGGTTGTGCTTCCACCTCTACCCTCTGTCTAGCCCAGGGGACCTTAAGTTTCCTGCCTGAGTTTGAGAGAGGACAGGTTTATCCCAAATGCAGATTTTATCAGCTTCCCATGGGGCCTTCAGTATGAGTGACTCAAGTCCTGTGACTGTCAGACCTGACCTCAATAGGGCCCCTACATAGGCCCCCCCACACACCAGCCCCTCAGCCTTTCTTTTTCCCATTGCTTTTCAGAGAGAGAGAGAGGGGCAGAGAGAGAGAGAGAGACATCAATTGGTTGCCTCCCACATGCGCCCCAACCAGGGCTGGAGATCAAGCCTGCAACTGAGGTACATGCCCTTAACCGGAATCGATCCTGAGACCCTTCAGTCCGTGGGCTGATGCTCTAACCACTGAACAAAACCAGCCAGGGCTGTCATCTTAATGGCTCATCTCTCTGTATCTTTTCTGCCTTGACCTTTGTACCCCACCTCCACTATATTAACTTTTCTAAACAGATTTTGTTGAGTCCCTACTACGTGCATGCACTGGGGATACAGGGTAACAAAGCATTGAATGTGCAGGTTAGCAGGGGAGCCCACGGTCCATCAGAGACAACCGTACAGATAAGTGTCTAGTTATGAACTATGACATGGAAATGTGCAGGGGGCTACGACAGCACTGCACA